CACACACACACACACACACACACACACACACACACACTCTTAATGTATCCATTGATAATATTACAGAAATAACATTGAAATACTGAAAAGGGTGGGGGACACCCCTTCATTCATTTGAGAAAAAGTAACTGCTCAACTTCCAGTTCCTACTGACAATGCCAGGGATGTGCATAAAGTCTGCTTTGAACTTGCCAACTCACTCTAAATAACAGTTATGGAAATTACAGGCTGCCTGGCTCTATATTAAAAATAGCACTGGCTGTTTGGTTGTCAGAGTATGGGAAGGACCTTCAGGTACCCCATATAGAATCTATTCCGAAACCACATAACAGGATGCTACTGGCAATGACAACTATAACTGAAAGACACATAAGCAGGGTGTCCTGGAGTTGCACAACCAAACTGACTCCATCCTGTTCCTTAGTCACATGAAATACTTTCTCTAGACTCTTAATATGGACTTTAGGCTGTCCAACAGAGGTAAACCATAGCCCCTTGTTTGTTTTTCTCTCACTAAGCCCTCCCAAAGAACTGTGGAAAAAATTGACCATTCCTAACTTTCTCCCCTTCAGTATGTTAGTGGGCAGGGGAAAGGAGAAGCATTATACTTGGATGCATGAGTAAGCTTTGGAATTTGAAACACACTCAACGTTAATTCAGGGGTACTTCTAAATTAATAACCAGTTAGCAAAGACCTTATATTCTATAACTGAAATCTGTCATCCAAGTCTACCAGAGTTCAGTTTTTATATCTGACTTGATTGAAACAACAGTGGTTATTTTCCATGGTTTTAAGATCCCATCGCTTGCATTGCTTAACTTTGTTAAAGTCTTAGCTAGAATGATATCTGGATTTGATTTTAAGTGGGGAGGAGAATGAACTTAGGCTTATAAATAGCATTGCTTTTTATCTTCAGTATCATTCATGAATTTATGTTTGTTGAAACAATGATGTATTTTAATTTATATGTTGTGATATTTTTTAATCCCTTGTGGAAGTAATAATAAAGATCTGGAAGTAAAAATTTCAACTAAAAAAAAGGTGAATATCAAAATTATGACTCAGATCAAATTATAATACTTGAGTAAGTTTCAGAAAGAAACAAATTCATAGCCTGATGCATATGGACAGCAAAGTCAAGTCCCATCATCTGAATGACATATAAGAGATTTGTCTAAGACCGTTTCCATAAAGAGGTGAGCCAGGGTTTTAAAGAGCATGTTCTGGCAAATTTCTGACTTCTCTGAACCTTTGCCAAAACTATTTCTGGAGTACGAAGGAAAACACATGAAAAAGATTTGGATCTTTTTAGGGGCATTATGCAATTGGAAGTTGTTGACATACCTATTATCAACAATTCCTAAAACATTTCCGTACCACAAGAACTACTAATTTTCACAGGAATAATGAAACCCTTCAGGGTAGTTCCATCAACTCAAAAACTTGACAATCACTATCATCTTTGAGAAGAAATAGAACTATTTCAATTTTAGTAGGCCTCACTTGTTTCTAATATTTTACGTCTAACACCTGGTAAAAATTTTCAGGTTGTCCAATTGAGTTCACTGAAGATTTTCATAGAATATTTCTGACAAATACTTACAGCTTTGGTTCTTACATCATCCTCTTATTCTCCAGCCAATCTATGCCTTAGTCCTACTTGAACTGCTTATTGCTTTTCTTTAGCATGCCATGCATTTTCATGCATCCCTGAAGTCATTCCTTCTGCACAGAATTCCTGCTATGGTCTCCTTGGTGAGATCCTTCTCACTCCAAACATCCAATCCAAATGCATCTCCCTGTACATTTATTTATACAAACTCCCTGCTCTCCTGTGTTTCTATGTAAATTTACACACATGAAACTCTAGGAATTGAGTTCTATAGAATCTATAATTTTCAAATTTAAGGACATGAGAGAAAATACAATTTTAGCAAGAGCAAGCCAGAAGTGAACCTATGAAATCCTTCATAATCATCATTATATTTACTAAATTAAGAAGTCAGCACATTAGAAAGAAAAGACAAAGCCCCTTTAAACATACTAAATTAGTAGTAATGGGAACCATTAATTCCCAGTAATATCTTCCCTTGTTTGCTAGAAACTTCAGAGTCATACTTCCCAACAACTCACATGTTTCTGGCCAATTAATTTTACTCTGCTGGAAATGATGTGCACATGAGTATGTGTTTTCCCTTTCTGTGCCTGGTTCTACGCTGAGATATTATGGCTTTCACTTAATGACTTAAGACTTGCGCACCTCTGCCACCTAGATCTTGCAGAGGTCACAGAAATACAGAGTAATTTGGATGTATGAGATGGAAAAGATTTGGAGAAAATTTGCTGTTCTTGGCAGGTACTTTTCAAATACACTCCCCAAGCCCCAGAATGACACTGTGCAGTCTCAGTGCTGTTGCCCAGCATTACTTTGTACCAAAGCAGATGTTGTTAACTTGCTCTACACATCTCTTTTTTCTTTTTTTTTTTCTCCTTACAGAAGTTGCCAAACTACAATTCCAAACCACAGTTCTGGGGTCTGGGTTTCCTTTCTTTCATCTTTCTTCAAGTTGTACTGCAAAAATGTCTTCTCCTTTTCTGCCATCTACTTTA